TTTTTTACTTTTTATCATAATTCTAACAGATAAGTATTTTATTAATATTTAATTTGTATAAAATTATATTTTGAAAACTAATTATCTCCGTCCGAGTTTAATAAAATCTAAAAAAAATTAAATTTTTTCGTGTATTTTTAAATAGATTAAAAAAATAATATTTATATTACTTAGTATTAGAAGATGTGTAGAATAAGAATAAAACTAATGAAATTCATTTAGAAATCTTAAACAATTTCTTTTTCTCTCATTTAATTAATAATTTCCAAATGTAAAATTTCAAACTAAATTAGAAAAATCTATAATAAAATGTTTAAAATAAATATAAGAAGTCAAAGTTAGATTTAATCAATATATTGAATTTAATCTTTTATGAAAAGAATGCTTAGATTTTTTTCTGAAAAATCATATCTAGCCTGCTTTTAAGGAAAAACTTTGTTAAATTTAGAACTTTTAAAAAAATGCAATGTATAAGATCATTTAATTATAGATTTTTTAAAATATAAATAATTTTATTTTACATAATATATTTGTAAATGAAATTTAAATATTTAAATTTTATTTTTTGTTAGAAAAAAAGGGTTTTCTAAATATAAATATGATAAACTAATTTTCAAAAATTTGTCATATTCCATTCTTCCTAAATAAAACAACAAATTAAATTAAAAAATGTTTAAGAAAACCATTTGAAATGTAAAGGAAATAAACGAAATTAATGTTTAAAGTAGAAAAAAAAAAATCAAAAAAATAAAAAAATAATATCATGTAAAATTTTAATTTTATTAGAAAGAATTAAGACCCTTTTTTATTTATTGTTTTTATTGTTTTAAAGAAGGAATATTATTTTAAATTAAAATATTAAGATTAAAATTTCTTTTTAAATCTGAGAATAATATTTAAAGGCTAATTTAAATTATCTAATATCTTAATTAATTTGTGGTATTTAACACATATTTTTAATTATGTAAGTTCCTTTGACAAATTATAATCGCAAAATTTTAAAAACTATATATTAAGTCGTTAATTTGTTTATGATAAAGCTTTTAATAGTTTATTTAGTTATTTATATGCCACTTGTATAGAATTTTTTTATTTTTCGTATAATTATTTTTAAAAACTTAATAAAAAAAAAAAAATCGATATAGTATTTTTAATAAATAAAATTTAATTAAAATAAATTTTTTTAATTATTAAATATAAATATAATATAATATATTAATAAAAAAATAAAAATAATTTTAGTAAAAAAATAATATAAAAAATATTAAAAAAAGTATAACATATTTTAATTTAAAAAAATGAATGATAATACAATCCATAAATTAGAAGAATATAATGAATAAAGGATAGAATTTCATCCAGAGTTAGTTAATTAATAAAAAATAGACAATTAATAAGAATGGGATAACATAATCAGAAAATTATCATATAAAATGCCGGCTACATTTAAATATGGCTTTGCATTCGGAGTTCTTCCGGGTATTTTAACTTGTTTAGTTAAATAAAAGCCAAGTAGATTATTTGTATTTCCAATAATTAGTACACCTTTGTTTGGTTTAGGCCTTTGTTACAGAGATTTTTATAATATAATTAAATTTAAAAAAAATGAATACTTTTAAAAAAAATGAATAAATTATAAATTTTCTAAGTTTAAAAATAAAATTAATTTAATTAAAAAAAAAATATTATAATTTGAATAAAAATTTAAAGTACAATAGTATTATATAATAAATAAAAATGAATTTAAAAAAAAATTTAAGATTTTAACATATAAAATTAACAAAAATATATATAGATATATACATATATAAATATTATATATATATATATAAATATATATATATATATATATATATATATATATATATTTATACTTATACTTATACTAATTATTTTTTATTTTTTTTATTTTAATTCTAATTATATATATCAATTATAAATAATAGATATAAATTTATTTTTAAAATACAAAATTTTCAAAAATTATTACATATTAAATTTTTTTTATTTTTTATAAATAAATAATATGAATTATATATCTTCATAAGCATTTTTATTATATTTTAATTTATCTTTTTTAAATAAATATCTTTATTTTTTATTAAATTTAATATTAATTTTTTATTTTAATATTTATTATCATATTTAATGTAATTAAAATATTTCTTAAAATATTAATTAAATTATTTGAATTTTTTATTTTTAAATTTTATTAAAAAAATTTAATATAAGGTTATATAATTCATATTAAATATGTCGATTCAAACTTATTAATAATTCAAATTTGAAAACAAATAATTTTAATTATTCTTTATGGAATTGAATCCTGTTCCTATGAATCAAAATATTTTAGAACTCATAAAAAGACTTTGGTACAAATACTATATAGATAATACATTTAATATTGATTATGATAATATATTATAAACTATAGTAAACTAAAGGAAGAAATAATTGAAATCATAATTTATTAAAATAAATATATATAACTTAGAAAATTATTTAAAGATTGTATTTTTTTAAACTTTTTGCTTTTTTAAATATATTTATTTTAGTTATGTTTAATTATTTGTTTTATTTCCATTTTAAGATAATTAGGAATTCCAAAATATAATGAATCATATCTAATATAATTATTAGATAATTAAAACTTTTATGCATTATTATATCTTTTATCACTTTTAACGAAATTATATGATTTGAATTTATTTTTTTACTTACCTTTATTATTATATTTTTTTATAGGTTTATGTGATTTTTTCACTATTACAAATAGTATTATATATTAAATGCTCTAACCATTATTCGTAATACTTAATTCAAACAAATAAAGATAATATCATTATAAAACTAATATCGAATTGTTATTTTTAATAGTATTTTTTATTTAATTTATTTTTGGATATGAAAATTTCTTTTAAATCGCAATTTATATTTATTTTCTTTATATAAAATTTATACTTGATTAATATAGTAGAATAGCTATAATTTCTATTTTAGATAAGATTTTTATTTTTTTGAGAAAAAATTCATTAGTAGTTTAAAAAATTTCAATTATAATTTAGAAGAAAAAATTGCTTATAAATAAATATTAAAAAAAAGATTGAAAAAATAATATTTTTAATTAAATATAAAAATATTTAAAAAAAAAATCATATACTATTAATTATATTTGGAAAGTTTGTATTTATTTAAAAATTTGACTAAACAATAATTTTATAACTTTAATTTCATAATATGAATTTAATAATTGTTTAAAAATATATATTTAAATATCTATTAATTAATATATTAAATTTTAATAAAAATTAAATAATTTATTTCGATTATAAATTAATTTATAATTAGAAAAATATCATTAGTTATGATTTCTTTTTTCTAAATTCATTTATAATTTAAAGAATTAATAATCATATTAATTTGAATAAAATCCTCTATATTATTTTGTACTTATAATATCCGAACTGTTTATTTCATTTTAATTTTTAAACAAATTAGAATATTCTAAGTTAAATTTCGATTTTCTAAATAAAACATTGTAAGGTTATTTTAAATTAAACTTCATATAATTTTCTAATTTATAATCATCTTTTTAGAAATAAAATTTATTGTAATTATATAAATCAATACTAAAATTTAAAAAATTAGTATGATATAAGTATTTCTTTAACTTGTAATTCAAACTCGGTTTTGTATTAAATTATATAAATAATCTTAAATTTTCATTATCATTTGAATATAAGAATCTTTATTTTATAAAAGGATTTTTTTTAATTTTTCATTATATTGATTTTCTATTTCCTATTCTGACATTTATTTATAATTATCTTTATTTAAGGTTTATAAATTAAAGCTTTAATCACTATATTAACTGAATTAATTAAATTCATTTAAATATTCTTAGCGTATTCTATATAATCTTTCATTAAAATTATCAATTTATGTTGATTATAATTAACTATTTTATTTTATTAAAACAATTTTTTTATTTATTTAAAATTTTCTAAGTTTACTTTTAATTTTATATAGTATTTGATTATTAAGATTATTATTATTATACACTTTTCTGTATGAATGAAGTCCCTGGTTAAAAGTACATTTATAAATTAAATAATATTTTTTATTTTAAAATAAAAATAGATAAAATAATTATTTTTAAAAGAAAAAAATTTTTCTATAAAAATAAAAAAAAAAAAATTATTATTTATATTTATTATTATAATATATAAAAATACAAATATACTAATATATATAAAAATATATATATATCAATATATAAATAAACATATAAATATATTTATATATATATATATATATATATATATATATATTATTTATATATATAATTATATTTAATTTTTTATTATCTAATAGTTTATGTTTAATTATTTTATTATAAAAAAATTTTTATATTAAACAAAAATTTTTCTTAAATATAATTATGAATTTTTTTACATGAAATATATATAATAACATTTAAATTTTAAATATCAATTTATAATTTTAACTTTTTAAATATAATGTTTCATTATATTGGTTTTTTTTTATTAACTTTTTATAAAATAAATATTTGAATTATTATTACCTTATAAATAAATGAATATTTTTTTAATTTTTTTATTCTTATAATTTTCTTAATGTTTTATTCCGTATTAATCTCATAGTATGAATGACTTGAAAATAATTGTTTAGGAATTATTAAAAGGTAATTTAATTTTTTTTTTTTATAAAAATGTTTCAGATAAAATTCAAATAATATATTTTATTTTAAATTTATAAGGAACTAATTCTTTTAAGTTTGATGTATCTTTAGCTTCATATAAAAGTTGTTTATAATATTCTAATTGGGATAAAAATATAACTTCTTGTGATTTTCATTAATATGGAATAAAAGTATTAAATAATATAAAAAAAATATTATATAAAAAAGACATGCTGTTTAGCGATGAGAGGAGATACAAGTGCATAACCTAATTTTAATTACTTTTTTAATACTACTGATGATTTAATTAATTTAATTATAGATCCTAAACTAAGATTTATTTTCGGAAAAAATACTTAATATGAAAAATATTAAAAAACTAAATATTTAGCATTAAATTTATAATACAATAATTATGATAATTATTTAACATCAAATTTTTTCTATAAAATTATAAAAGCAATTGATTAAAATAATTTAAATATAATTTTAGTATATATATATATATATATATATATATATATATATAAATAAAAATATATAAACTTTATTTAAATATACAAAGATAACAGGTGGAAATGATGGGGTAATTCCTTTCTATGATAAAAAATGTTTAATTGATAAAACATGCAGTTTTATGGAATAATATATATCTGATTCAAACATTATTTTATAAGAAGATTAGTATGAAGGTCCTAAAAAAAGATAACTATAATTTAATACTGATGCCGTTAATATATAAAGATACTGTTAAATAGGATTTCCTGATTATCTATAAGATAATAAAATGCCCTTTAATATATGGGAACCTACACATTAAGATATGGTTTTATAATATACTGATTAAATTTATTCAAAAAATTGTTCAAAAGCTATAAAAAATATTGATTTGAGTAAATATTTATATATATATATATATGTATAAAAGTTTAATTATATAATAAAAACTAAAAAAAAAAAAAAAAGAACAATTATATACAATAACTTCAAATGTAAATAGAGAAAATCTAGAGTTATATCTTTAAAAAAGCAATAAAAATTACTTTAATTATACTTAATAAAAACATAGATTTTTTAATGCAAGTGATAATTATATTGAATATAATCAAAATCTTGATATAATTTGGTTAAGCTATTATAATCATACAATATAGAGTTACATAGTTTATTCATTTAATTAAGAATAAAATTTATATTACTTTAAAGAAAAAATAAATAAAATAAGCTCCAAAAATGAATTTTTATTAATAGAATTTTAAACTTAAATAGTTATTTATGAAATAAAAAATTATAACAATATTATAAGTTTACATCAAATATAAATTTTTCAAAAAAACTATTTTTTTATTGGCTGTGATCTTTTAATTTTAGATTAAAATGTTCCTGTTATCGAATTATTTTTAAAAATATTTAATTAATTAAATATTTAACTTATTGAAGTTATTAAAAAATAAATTATTTTTTCTAAAAATGTTTAAATAAGTATAAATAATAATGTTAGTCTTTCAAGTATTTATTTTAATAAAATTTGCTATACTGTTTTTGCTTCTACTGAATAAAATTAAATTATAAATTTTATTTATTTTGATATAAAAACAGAAAGTCCTTATAGTTATAATTTAGTTTATACTAATAAAACAATTGCTTATGGGTCTTAAGCTTAAATAAAGCTTTATTAATATAATAATTAATTATTTTTTATATAAGTACTAATTTTTTTATTTTTTTTTCATATAAATTATTTTTTAAAAAAAGACAAATACAAATGGATCTTGTTGGAATGGAGTTTATACTAATAATGGAGGATGGAATAAATGTGAAATGTACAAATATGATGAATTTATTAATTTTAGGAATGTAGAAAATACTATAACTTATATGTGGGGAAGATTAGAAAGTTTAAAAAACAGAATTTAAGAAGGAAAATTTATAAATTCTTGTGATGATAAAATAATAACTTCTAAAGTTTATAATGGAAAAAATCCACATATTATTGTTAAAAGTATAAATGAAAAGGTAAGAGCATATCTTTTTTATGAATATGTACATTATGACCAATTGCCTTTTATTAGCACATTATTTTTAGGGTCTAACTCTTATGAAAACGAGTTAAAAAATGAAAAAGTTTTAGATTTAGCATCTTTTGAGCTATTGGAATATGAAATATTTAATTTAATATGATTTATATATATATATTTTAACTTCTCAAATTTTTACTTTTTTTTTTAATTATTTTATCAAATTATTATTAATTTAATTAACTATTATGATGGATATTATATATAATAAGATATAAATACAAACTAAAACAATTAAAATTATAATAGTTGCTTAAAGTACTATTCATATAATAAAATCTTTAAAAAAATACTATGAGAAGTTATAAAAAAAAATTATTTAATTATAATCAACTAAATTTCAAAAATAAACATTTAATTATAATTTTTTTAACTAATTTTCAAAAATAAACATTTAATTATATTTTTTTTAACTAATTTACAATTTTATTTGATTTGCTTTGATTAACTAAATTATTCTTTAGATAAATTTTTTCTAATTTATTTATTTTTTTCTAAACAATCAAATATTCAAGAAACTTTTCACTTATCATATTATCTTACAAATACAAAGTATGTATATTAGTGTCTTTTATATAATCAATCAAATACATTGCACCTTTATCTGAAATTTTATTCCTTTACAATTTAATCGATTTTAATTATTTATTATTTTAAAAATATTTGCAAATACTTATTAATCCGTCATCACACATATCTTTTTTTTTTTATTTTGTTATCTTTTCATATAAAATTATACCTGCATATGTAAAATCTGCTGCTTGTATATTATCTTCTTATATTTATTAAATAATTTAAGTATATTTATCAGAAAAAATATAAGAGTTATTTGTAAAAGAATGATTAGCCGAAGTTGATAAACTACCTGAATATTTTTTACCATGTGAATATATGTCGGAATAATCAGCAAAAAAATTTACTTAGTCAGTATTTTTTCTAAATATTACAAAATCTGATTCTAGCTTTTAATTTTAATTTAAAGAATTATTCAATTACTCAGATATATCATCATGATTTAACAAATTATCTTCATCAGTCAATATTTTTTTATTTATTAATATATTTTCTTTTTGATTTATGTATTATATTGTATATAAATCTTCAAAATCAATTTAATTTATATGAACAAGAACTGATTAAGAGCTTATTTCATCAATTTTTTCTTAAAAAGAACTTGAAGATAAATCTATTTACTCTAATAAATCCTAGCCTTATTTAATAATATCTACTTATTAATTATCTATTATCAAATCTATATTATAATCTTATTAAGAATTTTGTTCACAAATTAAATATAATTTATTTTAAGCACTTTTTTTTTTTTTTTTTTTTTTTTTTTGATGAAAAAAAAAAATAAATACGTTTTTTTCCATTTGCTTATTTATTTTATTAAATCATCAAATTTTTCTTTTATTTATAAAAATATTTTTTATTGCATTTCTTCGAATTTATTCATTATTTCATTAAAGCATTATTACTTCACACTCTAAAGTTTATTTTCATAATACTTTATTATGTTTAGTTTTTTTTGTTTACAATTTTTTTTTTACTGAAAATTTATTTTGAACTTCTTGTTTTGCATTTTTCAAATTATTCTACATATACTTATTTATCATATCAAAATGATTATTTTAATCTGATAAAAAAGTTTGGTTTTTTTAAATTGTTTCTAATATTTATAATATTGATTCTGCTTTTTATGTTATTTCATTAAGTACATCTTTTTCACTCTTAACATTATGATTTTAATGAGAACTAAATAAAGCACAATCTGTACATATTTTTTGTTTACAATTAATACAAACTAATTATTTCCTTATTTTATAAATAAATCATTATTTTTTTTACTTATATCCTTTTTCTTTTTATGATTTAGACATTATTAGCAATTATTTTAATTCTAATTATCTATTCATTAATATATTTTTATAAATTGAAATAATTTTTTTATTTATAAAATGATTAAATGGATAAACTGATATATGTTTTTTAAAAAAATAAATCGTTAATATTTTTTTATCGAATGATTTATTTAATTAATTTATTTTTTAATTTTATATATAAATAAACTATATTTATTTCATTCTAAGAATTAATTTTACCTATGTGTTAATTTTAAGTTTTTTATATTTGTAAGAACTTAATTAATGAGTAGTTTTTTGGAAATGCCTCAATACCATTAAAATTTTAATAAAATTACCTAAAAAATTGACAAAAATTACTTAATTATTTTTTTATATATAAAACCCATCTTCTGGACATTGGAAATCTTCTTATAAACTAATTTTTTCTTATATGCATTTAGTACATATAGAGTGTCCACACTTAGGTAACATTCGAGGTACATTTTATTATTAATCGTCAAATAATTAATCACAAAATAAACATTTAAGTTCTTTTTCAATCATTTTTATTTTATCTCGAGTTAAAAAAGGAAGATAATTTTTTTATTTTAAATATTTAGAATAATAAAATTATTTAAATGAAAATAAAAAATTTAAAATATTAATAATATTTGATTAACTTTTAAAAATTATAAAAGCTAAATAAAATTATTTTTATATTTTTTTCTAAAAATACTGAATAAGCATTATTATTTTTAATTTTTTTGTTATTTTGTTGTTTTAATCTTTAACTTATCGTTATCATAATAATTAAATAGGCTAATGACGAAATAAATTATCTAAATGAAATAAAGCAGCGTTAAAATTATATAATCTATAATACAATGATATGTTATTGAATAGGAAAAAAATGAAATTAGTATATAATAGTTAATAAAAAACGATAATCTATTGAAAAGATAATATAGGAAAACATAAATAAAATTTCATTAATGAAAAAATATATGCTTTAATGAATTTTTAGATTAAATAAATTTATATAATAAGTTTTAAAAATTATCTGACATAATTTATATATATATTTAAAATAATTAGGTATATATATTGATTCATTTTAATTTTATATTTATTAAATTATCATAATTTTTTTACTTTATTATTTTAGATTAATTTATTAATATTTATTTATCTATTTATATTTATTTATAGTATTCATAAAATAGATTTAAGTTTTTATTTTGTAATGTTTTTTATAAACTCACTAAAGATTTTATATAATAATTTTTTAATTAAATGAATTAAATTTTTAATCATTAATTTTTTTTAAATCAGACATTGAAATAATTAAATAAATATTTTATTCTAAATTATCTACGATTATTTATTATATTTTAATTAATACTGTTAATAGTTAACTTAATTGATTAATAATAATTATTTTTAATTAATAATAATCAATTCTAAGCTGTTTATCCAATTTTTATCAAAATATAACTGAAATCATTTAAATAATAAATTAAAATTTGTATATTCTTAAATAATGATTAATATTTGCAATTTTTAATAAGCCTATTCTTTTTTTCGGTTACAATTATTTAAAAAAATAAATAGTAAAGTATTTTTTGATTTGTATTGAATGCTATATGCAAATAATTAATTATTATTTTACTAATTATATATAAAAAAACACATTTAAATTAAAAATTTATAAAAAAGATAAGAATATTTCTTAAATTATAAGTATTCGAAATTTTAATTTGTAAATAAATTCATCTTTTTAAAATTCTCTTTTTTCATTATCAAGTAATCTAATATACTATTTAATTGGGTTTTGAGAAAATTTAATATTATATTCCAATTATTTTGTGAAAATTGTTATTTTTATATTAATATTAATAAAAACAAAAGAAATTTTTTATTAAGAAAAAAGAAATATTTTATTAAAATAATAAATATATTGTTTTGTTTATATTTTAAAAATTAAATAATAAATAATAAAAAAAAGAAAAAATATATTTCATATAACAAAAAGAAATCTTTGATATTTGAATAAAATTATTAAAATAACTAAAATATTTTTCCGAAAGCATTAAAAGTAAAATATAATTTTAAATATAATATAATATAATATATATTAATTTATTAATTAATTTTTTATATAAAATTAATTTATTAATTAATTTTTTATATAAAATATTATATATTCTTAGAAATCCTATTATTATTAATATTTAATAAATCAAAACAAATAAATAATTATTATATATAATCTTTTTCTTAAAAAAAAATATTTAAAAGATATTATTTATTTATATAAATTTATAATAAAAAATTATATAAATTATATTAATACAAAGAAAATTTTTTAATTTTTTCAAAAAAAATATGAAGTAATAAAAATATAGAAATATATTAAATAATGTTATTTTAAATTATAAAATAAGGCAATAAATAAGAAACTATTAAAAAAATTATAATATATATATATATATATTAATTTTTAATTAAAAAAAATAAATATAAAATATTAGTATAATTAATATAAAATAATCATACAAAATAAATACTACTTGAGATTATTATAAAAAAATAATAATATGTAGATAAAAATTAAATAAAAAAAATACATTGTTTGAAAATATATATATATATATATATATATATATATATATATATATATAATTTTATATTTAATTTTTTTTTTTATTTTATATATTTTATTAATTTAAAAGCATGTATATTTAATATAAATTCTTTAAATAATTTTATAATAAAATTTAATTATTAAATAAATATTTTATTTTTATTTTTTAATAAACTAAAAACATTTTATATTTTTTTTTAATATAAATTTTAATATATATTTACTTATTTTTCATTTTTTTATTTAAATTTAGACATGTTATTTATAAATTTTAAAAAAATTAATACTTAATATTTTATATAAATTTTCTTTAAAAATTAATTTATTATTATTATTTTAATTAAATAAAATATTACTATAATTTAATATATAATATTAATTATAACACAAAAAATATTTTATATATTAATTTTTATTAAATATTTAAACTAAGCTGATTTACTAACTATTAGTTATAGTATTAATAATTCTAAAGTTTATATTATTATAAAATTAAAAAAAGTTAAATAATTATTAGATATACTAATTTTAATTTATTATATATATTTTTATCATTTTTTTAAAAAAAATATTTAAAATTTTTTTTTTTTAAGTTATGCTTATTTTAAAATTATAATATTATTTTATAGAACCAAAAAAATTATTAAAAAAAAAAAAAAAATTAAATAATATTCACTTTGGGCAAAAATTAGATAAAATATTTAACATTTTATTGCATTTAGAACATTATTTATATCCTTCAGTAATACATCTTTTACATTTAAAACTTTCATCGCAACTAACACACTATTAATTTTACTCAATATAATTTTCAGGACATTTATCTACACATTAATTCCCAAGCAAATAGTATCCATTTTAACAATCATCACATTTATCTGCATTACTGCATGTTTTACAATTATCATCACAATATTCAATCACAACATACAATTCTCTAAATCCAAAAAACTAAGTATTAGCTTCTGGAATTGACTTAATAATCTAGCTCTCTACAACTACTTATATAAAAAACTCATTCAAACTTTCAGCTAATTTTCCTCTAAAATCAAATTCTTTGTAATAGTTAAACAATTCAGCCTATTTACCATAATGTGCGCAACTCTGTTAAGCTTTTTCGGTAAATTGAATATTATTATTAAAATCACAATTTTCATTTCCTAAACATGTTTTAATTAATAGTTTTGTATCATCAATAACATAATACTTATACCCAACATTAATCTAATAAAATGCTCTTTTCGCCTTTAATTTTTTTCTAATAAAAATATCCTTATTTCTATTCCCAACCCCCACAAAAGGTCCCCCAAGAAGCCAAACATCATTACACATTTTAAATTATTATTGATTAAATCCTTCCAAAACAATTTCTGCCCTTCCTAATTCTCCTGACGCGAAATACTATCCAAATAAAGCTTAAAGTAAATATTCCCCGTGTTTTGGTATTTTAGCACTATCTATACATAATTTATTATCAACCAAAGAATTATAGGGGCATTCCTTTACGCATTTCCCTAGACTAATAAAATAAGGTTCTTCACATAAAATGCATTAATTATTTTCACAATTAATACAATTCGCATCTGCGCATTTATTTTCTACACAAATTTTATAATTACCATTTTAAACAATGACCTCTTTAGTTAGATCACACTCAGTTAGGCATTAGTTATTTTTAACATACCCATCACAATTACAAGCATTTCCAATAATTTTATCTTTCAATATTTACAATAATGGAAGACCCTAAGGACAAGTCAAACAATCAGTCTCAGTGGGGCCATTACACGAAAGACATGATTCGTGGCATGTATCGATCGATATATAGATATTTTTGATTCCAAAACCATTACCAATCTTTTCATTAGCAACCTTAGAACGAAATTATAAAACAAAATTTTCATTTGTATGTGTAAAATTTGAATGAATTCTCTTTATTGAATCCCCAAAGTGTATAAATTTCTTATCATATGTGAAAATTTTATCAGCTTGGCATATCTAAAATCCTTTTTAATTATAAATTTAAAAAGTAGAATCAAGTGTACTATCAAAATATATCTAAACATAATCAAATTTGGATTTTTTATCATCTGTATTTTTGTATAATAATATATCTAATTATATTGCTAATGAATAATGAGGAGGAAGATTTTAGTATTTTTTATAAACAATAGGGGAATCGCTTCCAAAAATTCCAAATACATTTTTCTATCTATATTCTATTAATTATGATTAATCAAAACATTAAAATTATCTAAATTTAGTCCAGTTAGGATATTAAATTTCTTCAAAAGTTGAAGTATGGAATTCTTAAAATACTAATAGTTCATATGAATATATAATAATTGTAAATAAATTAAAAATTATAAACATAATTAGCATTTTTAAATAGTTTTTTTTTAATAATTATTTTTTTTAAATAATAAATAAAAAGTAAATTCATTTAACATTAAATTAAAAATTTAACTTAAATTTAAAAATATTTATTTTCTTTATTTTTTATAAATTAAAAATTTATATCATTTTTATAAAAAAATAAATATATTTTATGTAAATAATATTGATTAATAATAAATCTATGTTTATAAATATAAAAAAATATAATAGAAAAAAAAATTATAATAAACATTTATTAAAAAATAACTACATAAATTTATATTAAGAAAATAATTAATATATAATTAAATTTTTTTTTATATTACATAGATTTATTAAATAAATTAGATTTACAAAAATTATAGTTTATATAATGATATACTTGAAAATTTTTACAAAATATATAACATCTTTGAGTAATATACACACTTCTAATTTTTTCTTTTTTATTATTAAAATCCTTTTAATTTTAAAATAAAAGTTTTTTTAAAGGTTTAAAATATACGTTTTGGTATGAAATGCAATAAATAAAATTTTTGAAATACAAATAAATAATATTTTTAAAATTATAAATATTATATTAATGTTATTTTTCTTGAATTGTTAAATTATATATGATTTAGACATTTAATAAGAAAATAGAATAAAAATTTATAAGTTTAAAAAATATATAAACATAATTAGTATTTTATATAATAATAAAGTAAAGTATTATTATAGGGAAAAGTAAAAAAAATTCTTTAAAAATAAAATTATTAAAATATATACATAATTATTTTAGATAATTTAATTAAATAAAGTAAATTAATGATTATGATACTTTATAATAATAAAAAAAATAGAATTAAAACGCTAAAAAATAAATAATCTAAAATAGAAAATATTAAATATAAACTATAATATTTAAAAACTGTGAAAAATTTTTAATTTAATAATTAAATTTAAATTGACGTATTAAATATATTTAAATTGAAAAAAAAAAATTCTTTAATATTATAATTAAAAAAAAAAATTATAATTTAAAGAATAATAACTGTTTATTATATATATATATATATATACATATATATATATATATATATATATATATATATATATATTTATATATATATATATATATAATATATTATCTATTTTAAACTTTTTTTTTAAAAAACTTTTTTTAATAATCAATTTATAACAAAATGGAGTAAAAAAGTAAATCATAATAATTTAATTTTTTATATAAATTAAAAAAGATATATAAATTATATATACAATTTAAATATTATTTAAAAAAAAAAAAAAATTATTATAGCTTTATTTTTAATCATTTAATTTTTTTTAATAATATTACAAATATCTTTATAAATAAAAATTACTATTTATTAACTACTATAAAATTTACATATATAATTTAATTTATGATATAAATTTAAAGTTAAAAGTATTATTTAGAATATTCTAAATAAAAAGAATTATAATCATTAAAAAATATTTACTTAATTCACATAAACTAATACTGAACCAATAAATAAAAATGTATTATTTTTAAAAAGTAATTAAATTTATTATTATTAAAAAAATATATAGTATTTTGAAACTTCAACCAATTTATACATTAGAAGTTTGCTTGGATATAAATAAAAAAGAAAATGTTTTGCCTTATCAACATAAAATAAAGCACAAATTATTCAATTATAATAGCGTTTAATCAAATTGATTTCTTGGGGTATATGGCGTTTTAAGCCTCTATTGAACCTAAAGACTTCGTTAGTTTTTTATAGACTTTATTTGTTTTAAAAATTAAATATTAAAATATATATTTTTTTTTTTTTGATAATTTTAAAATTCATTTTAGCGCATTTTTTTAGAAATTAATTAAAAAATAAATAAATATTTATATACAATCCAAAATAATTAAATACTTTAGAGTATTCATTTAATATATGAAAGTAACATAAAAAATGAAAATAAATTAATAAATATTAAATGTTTTTTATGAAAAACCAAAACAATAAGTGTTGAGAAATTTAATTATTATATTAAACACATAATAAAATAAAATAGAAATTAAAAAAATAGATTTTTTAAAAATTGTAAATTTTAGTTTAAGAAAATTAAAAATAGACATAAGAGATGTACAAGTAAAAATAAATTATAATATGATAATTTAATTAATTTAAATAATATTTGAGCTTATATATTAATAATAATTTTTTGTTAATATTAGAAATTAAAAATAAAATTGATTAATAAATTTATAAGTTAATATCTAATATTTTTTCCAATATATATTTAGATTAAATAAATAAAAATAACTATTTCAGATAATTTAAAATTATATTATATATTCCTGGCTATCGTATATTTATTATCTATATATTGGTATAAACATATATAGAATTTTATAGCATTTTTTTTTATATTATATTTTTCTTCCTTATCCTACCATTCGTTTATTGAGATAAAAATACAAAGAGAAAATTATGACTCTACAAAAGCATTATTATTATAAAAAAAAAAAAAAATTAAAAGATATTGATTTTAAGAAATATTTTTAATATTGATTTTATAAGATAAAATATTTGATTTAAACTAAATATTTATTTTTTTTAAAAAAAAAATAAAAATTAATTAAAGTTTTGTTTAATTATATAAAAAATATAAAAAATAAAAATTATAATTTTATGTTTTTTCAATATGTTTTTCATTTAAATTAACACAAACTTAATTATATTCAATATTTTATCCAATAATCAGGAACATTATAATTAGATGATTATAATTTATCATTTAAATTTATTTTTTTAAAAGCAGAATCTGAAGCTAACAGATAATTAATTAATGAGTTTAACATTATATTACTTGCTTATATATCTTTTAATGCTCCAGCAAAAACAAAAAGCATGCAAATATTAAACTATTAAAATTATTTTTTCTTTAAAATGAAATACGCTAATCCTGATCCATCGATAACATCAGTTTCTTTTTGGTCTTAGTTTAATATTAGGTCATTAACTTTTCTCATATTATTAAAAGAAAAAGTTTGATTTTAATCATTATATTTTTAAAATGATTAATTATAGGTATAATATGTGAATGGAAACCTAATATTTTATTAATAATTTTTATGTATTATTTATTATTACTTTGAATTTATTTCTAAGTCAGGTCTCTATGAAAAAATGATTGAAGATAAAAATAAAATAGCTTTGAATTAACTTTATTTTAGAAAATTTAAAAATTCACATAAAAATTAATCCCTTCTATTCTAGGAACATTATATTTTTTTTAATTTGAAAACAAAACAAATTATTTATTTTTACATTTTTTATATTTGTGCGCAATTATAATATTGTGTATTTTCCTATTTAATAAATTTCTGCATTTAAATTTAAGTAATTTTAATTAGACAAATCATTTATTTCTATTTCTTATTATAAAAGTTAGGTTTAATAGTAACCTTTAAAAAAAAAAAAAATATTATTGTAAGTTAGATTTTTAATATTTTACCTATTTTTTATATATGATTATTATTTATTAGTTAATCAATAACCAATCTCCCTACTTCACCAGATGAGAGTGTATTCTTTTTTTAATTTATTTTAAATTTTTATATTTCAAGTTATAATATATAACTTTTTTTACCATTATTAAAAATGATTAATTAAAAGGATTTATTTCTTTTTAGGTTTATATAAAAGACATTTTTTTTCTTATTTGTAAATTTTATAAAAGATATTTATTTTTATTAATTAATTTAAAATAAAAATTATAAAACACATATATAATTTAAAAAAAAAACTATATATAAAAAAAAGAAAAAGAAAAATGAGTTTTATAAAAAACAATTCTTATCCATTCATAATATTTTTATTAAAATTAAACTAAATGAAATGAAATGCTTTATTTCTCATGATTCATTATTATTATTTTTAAATATATATAATATAATTTAGTATTAACTAACTATTATTGTTTTATAAGCAATTTTTTTATGTTTTAGTTTATATTATTTAATTATTTATTTAAAAGATATCTTTATCATTTAATTAATTTGAGAAATATTTATATTTTTCATTTAGGAATAGATATTTCTTTATATTTTTTTAATAAGTACTTTTAAAAAATATTTAAAACTTATTACATATACTTTATGTTTTCCCATTTGTTTGCTATATTTATTTTTTATTATTGTTTATAAAACAAATGAATAATACATTAAAATAATTCAAAAAAAACTCAAACATAAAAATTTATTGCTTTTTAATATTTTTATTATTTAATATAAGCTCTTATCCTCTAATAATCATAAAAATATAAGCAAAATAAGATGTTTAAATTTAAAAATTTTAAAATGAAACAAAAATTTAAAATATTTTTATGAAATTAATAAGTGTTTTAATAAATGTTTTTTTTTATGACACAAAAAGTCTATAATTATGATTGATTTTTTGTGTATTAATTTAAAATATAAAAAAAAAATGAACAAAAATAGTATAATTAAATATTTTTAAATTTTTTTTTAATATACTTAAATTAAAGAAGTATTTTTATTTTAATATCTTTTTTTATTTTCTGAATATATACAAGTAAAGAAAAAATATTTGCAACACTAAAATTAGTTAAATATTATAAAAATCACTATATTCCATTAAAAATTCATATTATACTTTACAAAAATTTATTATAAATTTAACTAATAATTCTTTTTCAAAAAAAATATCACACATTGTTAATATTTTTAAGATACATATATATATCAGTATATATAAACATACATATATATAAAAATAATAATTAAATATATATATAAACATATATAAATAAATATAAATATATATATATATATATATATATTATAATAAATAAATTTAAATTAATTTATTTTTTATTTAGATATTTTAATTTA